GCCCCACTCAGGAAGCCCAAAGCCAGTAGCATTCCTAGTGTGTCTTGCCCTCAGCTCCCACCAAATGGGAAAGGGAAAGCCCAAGGTTTGTCTGGGGGTGAGAGTGGATAGTCTACCAAGTGCTTTGCTGGGATGCCAGTGTGGGGAGGGAGCATGAGGGGCTGAAGACCCCAGTTCCTTAGCTCCGTCCCCTAACACACTCACAGAACCCAGCCCCTGCACAGGGCGGGTCTCCCAAAGAAATGTTTGCTGTGAGGTGCCTAGCACGTACCCAGAGAGGATGTGGGTAAAGTCCACACCCAGCAGTTCCCAGATTTTTCTGCAAAGGCCAACCACCTAAGGTACCTCATTTGTCCAGGATACCTTTTATGGCTACAGGGAGTCCTTTTACATGAATTGAGGTCAACCTACAGAATTCTGGAATGTTCAAGACAGTTCTTCCTGGATCTGTTATACCCAGGGTCCAGCTTTATTTTCATTCTAGGTCTCAGACGGAGCCCTGACCCTGCTTACATACTCAGCCCTGATAGTCTTTACTCACAAATGCTGTTGGTAATCAAAAGGTTTTGATTAACCTAGATAAAGCACCTTTTAACTCAAACATCTCATCTCATGAGGCTGAGAATTGGAACAAACCAGTGTACTGCATTAGGATGGCGAAAGATTCCAAACCAAGTGGTGCTTGTCACGCCCTCCTACAGGTAACAGACTCTGAATCCAGGGCCAACAGCTGAATTAAGTGCTCACAGGCAAGGGACAGCAGGCGGTGATGGAAAGCCACCTGGAATAGGCCCTCTACACAAGCAGGTCCACGCTGCCCCCCTTGCAGGGCACATGCCACCTGCCCAGTCCACCGGCCTTCAGGGATTCCCACTGAAGAACACCCCGGGCCCCCTGGGTGAGCACCCCTGTCAGGGCCTAACACTGAATCCCCTGCCCCCTTTCAGAGGAACGCATCGTGGTGATCAGCAGCTCGGAAGACTCAGATGCTGAAAACTCGGTGAGTGGCCCGGAAATTTGGCCCAGGACTCCTGCCTGCCCCCATTCCAGGTCCCAGGGGTCACAGCCACAGCAAGTGACTCTCAGACTTCCCTTGCAGCAGGGGCATTTACCAGCAAGGCATGAGTTGTAGGCTGTCCAGAGGATACCAGCCCTCCCTCCGTCCCAGGGCAGGGGCCTTCAGTGACCATATGTGCTCTTCTGAAAAGCGGAGAGAGGGCTTCCTTCTAGAGCCCTGTCTCCTTTCTGGACTAGCCAATGCCCCTGTCTGGAGCTTCCTCATGCATTTTCCACCCTCCTAAGTCCTCAAAGAAGAGGGCGGACAAGAACCCACTCCTTGGTTACTTGCAGCTAGGGAGGGCCAGTGCAGGGGTGTGAGGGCGCAGAGCAGCACTGACAGGGTCCAGACATGCAAGCTGTGACTCTAAAGCCATCCCACCATGGACCAAGTGGCCTTATAGGTTGTGGCCCTCCTGTCCCTGGAGGTTTGTTAATGGAGGCTGGGCTGTCACTCATTCAGGGGAAAAAGGGATCGGAATAGAGTGGAAGGTTGGACTGGGTGGCCCCTGAGGTCCCTTCCAGCGCTCAGTCTGAGGTTCTGTGTTGGAAAGCGCACGGAGACCATGGTGCCACCACCCTCCTCGCCAGTCCATCCCCCACCGAGAGCTCGCCGACTGTCCCGCCCCTGCCGGGCCTCCCGCCTGCCCTACGGCACATGCCGCCCCCCGGCTTGGCCTCCCCACCATCCCGCCCAGCAAGGTGCCGAGCCCGAAGCCGAGTATCCCAGCCAGCCCGCCGGTCACCAGGAGCCAGCTGCCGTCCACCGCGGGATCAACCTGCTGTCACGCGGAGCACAAAGAACCACGCGCCTTCACCATGCCTTCCGCCAGCCCCCCAAAGTGTGTTGTACCCCGATGTGGACTTGTCTGCCCACCACCACGGTCCAAGCCTCCGCCCCTGCCGCCACAGCGCCTGCCAGCCATCCTGCCAGTCTCCAGGAGTCTCCTGCCCGCCTCCAAAGGGCCAACAGCCAGCCCCACCGGGCGCGAGGGCCAGCGCGATCCCGCAGCCGCTCCCTCCGGGGCTTACCCCAAGTAACCCAGTGGCTCAACAACTTCTTCGCCCTTCCTTTCTCCTCTCTGACTCCCCAGCTCGATGCCTCTCTCAGCCGGGGTGTAGGGAGAGGCACAACCCCAACTCTTGGGGCAGGAATCTCCCCTGGGGATTCTGGCAGAGCTCCCAGGGAGAAACCCCCAGTCCAGCTGCCACTGGAAGTCCCTCCAAACGCACTCCCAGCGCCGCACGCCCCGCAGAGGCCTCCCACCAGCTCAGGCTCCCCGAGACAAGCCTCTGAGAGCCCCAGCTGCCTCCCTCCTCTACAGCCCCAACCCGGCTCACACACTGAACCCTGAGCCTGGTCACCTTCCTAGGCCAGCACCCGCTCCCTGCTCCCCAAGCCCCCTCCGTCCTGCTGCCCAGCCCAGCCCAGCTCGCACACCTGAAGGCCCTGCACACAGTAGGCGTCCAGTCCATCTGGTCAGGGAGTGAGCCAGGCGATGAACGGCATCGTGGAACTCTGGGCAGAGAGACTGAGATCCTCCCCAGCCAGGAGGGCGTGGCTGAGACTCAGGCCATCGTTCCTCACATCCTCGGGCCTCTTTGCCCAAGAAAAGGAAGCTTCTCTCATGCTTTGCACCTCCCACTGCCTCCGTCCCGACCCCATGCCTTTCCACTGGGTCTCTGCCAGGATGTAAGCCGACGAGGGCAGGGCCTGTGTCGACCCCAGGCCCTGGCAGTTGTGGGCTGCTCAATAAACACTTGTTGAACGATCGCCCTTGCAAACCTCCTTCCGTAACCATCAGATTCCCCGCTGGGCTTAGCCCTTCCCTGCAGGTGGTTTTTGTCTCCTCCCTGCGCTAACACTTGGCTCACTTGTGGAACAACATATCCCTCTTTCCCCCATCTTGTGAGTATCAGAGGTGGGGTCCAGGCCCTCTGTGCCTTTGAGGTTCCAGCTCTCCAGCTGAACCTGCTTTACCCAGCTCGTGTCAGACATCCTCCCAACCCCCCTGCTGTAGGGAGACTCAGGCACCTGCCTCTAGGGTTCCTCTCCCCACCCAAGTCTGGCCGCCTTCCTGGGTGACTTCAGCATCCACCACCCTGGCCTCTCCTCTCCTTGACCTTTCAGGGATCTTCAGCCTGTTCCCCTGCAGCTACCAACCCCACCTCCACCCCCTCCCCTGGACCTCACCATCACTGGGAACTTTCCATCTCTCAGCTGGCCCACTCCACTTTGACCACAGCCTCCTCCTGTTCCTCAAGCTCTCAGTCACTTACTTTCAGGACCTCCACTCTCTCCCTTCCAGCTCCTCCTGCCTAAACCTCCACCCAGCAGCCAGCAGAGTCCACCATTTCAGCCACGAGGGTCTCAGCACCCACCCCTCACCCCCTCCCCTCCGCCCCTGGCCTCGGGTAAGCTACCCTCCAAAGACAGCTCTGGAAGATTTGGTAGCGTCGCTCCTCTGCACTGCCACCTGGAGGCCAGCTTCTGTGGGAGAAAAGTCAAGGGGAGGAAGAGAGCTTCAACTGACGGTCTAGGGCTCCTTGGCACTCCTGCCTCAGCATGCCCCTCCTCCACAGCGGCTCCCCACACCTCCACTTCCCTAGCGCTGGTCCCTCATCCCTACCCTCGCTCACAGCAGGTGACTTCACCTTCTGCCCTAGAAGGACAGTAGGACAGGTGCTGTGGAGTGGCCCACATCTCACTCTGATGACAGACTGACCTGACCCCATCACATCCTTCCTCCTTCCCCCTCATCCCTTCTGTTAGGGTGATGAAGACAGCCACCTCCCTGGAGGATTCACTCTCCCTCCTCCTGGCCCAGCCCTCCTGCCTCCTTGGGGGCCTCCCTCCACCTCCCCGTCCTCATCCGCATCTTCAGGTGCTTCCTCTGAGCTGCAGCTCAGCACCCTGAAGAAAGTCTTTCCCATCTTGCCAACTCCCGCCCCGCATTTACCCTTCAGCCTTCACCCCCTCGGCGCTCCTGCCTCACCCCACCCCCCTGCCCTTCCCCGCCAGGCCAGTGAGCCCTGCCACCAGCACCAGGGGACACCCCCATGCCTCCAAGTGCAGCGGTCACCTTCAGTCCTGACTCCCTGAAAGACTGCGGCCCTCGGCTTCGGGACGGCTCCTCCTTCACTCGCTGCTCCTCCTCACTCTCCCTTCAAGTCTCTTTGTTCTTTTAAGTGTTGTTCGTCCAGCTCAGGTTCTGGGCCCTCTTCTCTTTAGTCTGGACATTCTCTCTGTGATCTAGCCAAGCCCATGGCTTCACCATGGGCTCCCTCCTGCCCGCCAGGCCAGCACAGCCAGTGGCCTCCCGACTTGCCCACTCGGATGCCCCATAGAATCAACTCCGCTCTCTCCCTTCTTGGTAAACCGCAGTCTGCCCAGTTATAGGAGCCAAGACCCGAGAGCTGCCTGGGACGCCCCCCTCTTTTTTATTATTCTTCACAGCCAATCAATTTTTGAGTCTTTTCTTTCCATGTTCTAAATTCCTCTGAAATCTGGGCACTTCTTTCACTCCCATGATCTTGAGAAAAATAAAACAAATTGGCCCTGGGTAGAAATAGAAGCCTGGGAAGGACAGGACTGGGCTGTCACTGGTCCCGCCCGGACATCAGGATAGTCAGGTGGAGGCACGGAAATCGGCAGTGTTGGGGGAGGGGCGTCAGGGAGCCACTAGGTGACCTCGGAGGTCGATCAACTCAGGAGGGAGAAGCGCATTGCAGGTTACAAAGAGTTAAACGATTAGAAGCAGCTGCTCACCTTTAGAGACCAGGCCTGGAGGCGAAGGAGCCAGAGGGTCACTGCCTTTGTGCAGGGGTTCTTCAGACCCACGTTTTTAAAATTAACCATTTCAGGAGTGCAATACTTACTGGAATAAAGATTTAAAAAGAAAGTTAGACCCTCCCTAATTAGGTACATCTCTCACCCACCTTCCACGCCCCCTTCCAGACCTCTGGTGTTCCCAGAGTCCCTTAGAGGGAGGGCGCAGGGTGACATTTGCAGGGCGCCCGAGGCAACCATGTCCTCCCCTCTGTGGCCTTTACACAAGCTGCCAGCGCGTGAGACTTGTGGAATACTGGCCTGCTAAGACACCACGTTTTCCGCGTGTCCCAGGCCGTGTAGGACCCCCGCTCAGGGTGCAGTGGCTGGAAGCCAGACGTGGGGGCTCTGGCACAGACCTGGCCTGGTGGGCGGGGCTCGGGGAGAGGCTGCTTGAGCAGCAGGGGTGCTCTGTAGGAGAGCTGGCCCCTGCTGGAGAGCCAGTGGGACAGTAGTCATGTGGAGGGGCGAGGCCCAGGTCTGACAGTGGAGACCTGGGCTGCAGACTGTGCCTGAAAAAACACTTCGTGCCCTGTGGTAGCCCTGGAGCAGGAAAAGGTAGATGTTCTCACCTGCTCTTGCGACAGATGACTCGCCCCAGTGTCCGGCAGCAACAGGACCAAGTGGAAGCAGGAGGGGGCCTAGCCGGGGGAGGGGACAGCTCCTGGCAGAAGTGGCCATGGTGACCGGCAGTGGAAAGGAGGCCTGTGAGAGCAGCTGATCCAGGGGAGGGGCCGTGATGCTGGTGAGTGTGTGTATCAGAAAAAGAAGCAGCTGCTCGGCTGAGAAGCTGGGAGCTGTGCCCTGCGATGGGCGGCAGCAGCCTGCCGAGGGGCCACAGGCTGGCTAACGAGATGGTTCAGTTCACAGATAACACGTGAGGCATCTCTGGCGCCTTCAGACGTTGCAAGAGCTGGGGTTCTGCGTCTGCAAAATACAGCCGTGCTTGTGTCTTGCCAAACTGATCCCAGCTGTTGCTTAAGCTCAGGTGATCAGAAAGTTCCTCGGGAGCTGGGGACTCTTGATTGCATTGATAGCATTTACGTCGGACGCTGGATAGGTACCTTCGGGTGATGATGCTGCATATCAAAGAGTCTGGCCCCTCTGATTTGCTGATGCCCGAACGTGAAATGAATCCATAATTAGGGCAGTCGTTCTCAACCCTGGCTGCACACTGGAATCACTGGTTGGAGGGGGGTGGGTTACCAAGGACAGATTCCTGAGTCCCACCCCCTGAGATTCTAACTGACTTGGTCTGAGGTGCAGCCTGGACAGCAAGATTCTTTTCAGCTGCTCATGCACAACCAAAGTAGAGAAGCACTAAATTGGGGGATTCAGTTGCTTATCTGTGTCAGAGAAATGCCCATTCGTGTGTGTATCAGCCTTGAACAGAGGTGACGTGGACATGCCGGGACATGATCCAAGTGGGGAGAGGAGGCGCCGGATCTTCCCAGATGAACTTCCTAGGCTTTTGGAAGGTGATAGGATGTCACCCCCATGCTTCCTACGAGCACCCTTGGTACAGCTGCCGCACCGGCCTTGTTGAGTTGGGATGCGGCTGATCTGTTAAGTTGACTATGATGAAAATAGGTGAAATACCGCTCGTGAGCCCAGCTGCGTGTGTGTCCTGGTTGCCTGGGTGTCCTGAAAGAGCCCTGGGTCCCCCGTGGCTGAGTCTGAGCACAGCTTTGCGGTCAAAGAAGCAGTCCACTAGCCAAGTATCCGGTATTTACTCACATCTTTCAAAGGCTATTACGGGGCTCCAGCTCATACCTCAGAGCCGCACTCCCTACATCCTCCGCCCGTCCCTCCAGCCCTCGTCATCTTCCATTCCCTGGCCCTCCGAGCGTTTTCTGACTTCTCACTTTCCAGTCCTCGCACGTGGGCTCTGGTCTCGTCCCCACTCCTGCTCCCGCTGCCGCCATTCTTTTCCCTTCTCAGCACATCACAGCCTTTTCCAGTAAAAGGCCCTCTCCTGGAAGCTTGGCTCCTGGTTTCTACCACTATTCCTCTCGATGCCCCCTCCGTCATCCTGAGTGTGGAGTAAGGTCAGAGAGGGTGGTGTCGGGGGTGGAACATGAGGGTTTCCCTTAGTGAGCAGGGCCAGAAAGGCATCTGTGTGCTGCTTCTGTTAACTCCGGGTCTTAGGAAAGTCTTTCGGAAACGTGTCAGTACTTCCCAGCTGTGTTGCTGGGATTTAAGGCAGCGAAGGGGAATTTCGTTTACTGCTGGGTGGAGTTCAGTGGAAGGCATTCCAGTAAGACCAGCCCCAGGGGTAGCTGTTCTTTATGGAAATCTCCAAAGGGAAGAGGAATCTGGGAGGAAGGGGAGTCAGGGCTGGAAGATCCAGCCTTCCCTCCCCTGGCAAGCTCAGCCAAAAGGGCCGTCGTTTACCTGAGGGAGTCAGCAGGGCCTCCAGTACACTCAGGACAAGGACAATTCCATCACTATCATGAAAATGACCCCAGGGACCATGGGGGGCTCTAAAAAATGAGTTCTCATGACCATTCATAAGTGATTCTGCTATGAAGGTGGGGGCGTTGGCCCAAGGATGCAGCTGTGCCCCCCTCCAGGGAGCTCAGCTCTTGGAAGAGAATGTCCAAAGAGAAGACTCTGGCCCTACAGCCCAAAGGGACGCTGCCAGAAGGAAGACAGGTGGAAGCGCTCGGGGCCGCTGCCGGCGCCTCTGCAGCTGCGTTTGGAGTGAAGAGGAGACAGAAGAAGGGAAAGCCCAGGGTGCCATGTCGGTGGGCGGCAAAGAGGACTCGGCTGAGGGGACGGCTCTTCAGCCGAGGCCCAGGGGAGGACATAGCAAGGAGAGCCCAGCTCTTTCCACCAGCCCCAGTGTGAGAGCACCCCGGCCTCATGAACAGAACAGCCCTGGAAGACTGGAGATAGAACACAGCTGGATCCTCCCATCCACCTGCTGCCAACTTCAAGGAAGACACCTGGAGAAGGCTCCTTCCAGGGAGGCAGAGGAGCAGTGACAGCGAGACAGATTCAGAGCACGACACGCCAAAGCAGGCTTTGATGCGTGGCCCAACCGAGGATGCAAGGCCTTTGACAAAGTCTTCTGACAAATTAGAGCCTCAGGGATAACGTCCCAGAACTCACGGGTTTCTCTCAGCAAAAGCAGCTCTAGATGGATTCACAGCAAATGTCTGTTTCTCTATCAGTGACTAGGAGGAAGTTGGTGAGCCTGGAGGAGGCTACAGAATGCAAATAAGGTGAAAATCAGCCACTCCCAGGAAAATCCAGCACTTTTTATTTGTGGTTAGTAAAACTTTACTCTTGGCTGAAGTTTTGGTCAAATGTTTCACCTGGAGAGTGGGAGTGCCCAAGAGAGTTTGCTAATTCTGTCCCAGGCCAGGGGCATCAGCCAGAGGCCGCAGTTAAGCGAGGCCTCAGTCGGCCCCGAGGCTGACTCCATCAGCCAGCAGGGGCAGCCGTAAGGGGGAAAGGCCCGAGGCCTGCTCTGGACTTTGTCCCAGCAGTGCCCCCAGCCGGCCCCATGACACTGGCCATGGCCCTTCCTCCGGGTATCTGGTTAGTGTCCTCAGTGGCATTCACAGGAGCTTCTGAGCAGGCCACCAAAGACTGAACATCTGGCTTTGGCAGGTGTACAAATGATGACCAATTAACAGTATATTATGAAAGGCTCCACCTCCCACTGCAGCCCCAGCTCCTGGTGAAACTCTGAGCCAGAGCCCTTCCCCCACCTCGGAGGTCTTTCAAACTGTGTTCTTGCCTTGGTGCTGGAGAGAACACAGCCTCAGGGGTCCAGCCTAGAAGAGCCCTGGCCTCAGACTTCCCTAAGCGGCCAGCTCCTGGATGCCAAATGATGGAGGGCCCCCAGGTTCTGAGGCTTCTCGCCACTGCTCTCACAGCCAAGTTCTGTGTGTCCCCCAGATGTGGCCTCTGAGGCCAAGCAGCCCACCCCTCCCCTTTGTGCAGGACACTGGGATCTCGGCTGGCTTGGTGAACAAGAAAAGCCAGGCATCTGACATCTTCCAGGGGAACACCTGGGGTTCTAGATGAGGCTGCTTCCCCCTGTCCCAGGTTCATGTTTCTGAGTCTGCCCAGAGAGATGAAGCGAGGAGCAGACACCTCCGGCCCTGCACCTCCACACCTAGCCCTGCTCGCCCGTGCGCACACTCACCCTGTGGCCTCACACTTTCACACCCACTGTGCCAACACAGGTCCCCAAGTCCACAGCCCCTCATGTACACCCAGATGCACACACACACATACACCTGCATTCATTTCCGCATGTGCTTTCACCCACACTCACACTTGCCCATGTGATCTCATCCGACTCACTCACTAAGGCACATGCCCTGGTTCACACGCACCACCCTCACACCTGCGTGTGCACACTCACGTCCGTCCATGCACTGGCTCGGAAGCCCACCTTCCCTTTCCCAGTAACATGTCCTCCCTCATGTGCACACAGATGCCCCCACCATACCCACGTGCTTGTGTTCCCATGCACACTTACACTCGTGCACACACACCTGCTCATGGGCATGTGCTCACGTGGCCACTGAGCTCCCTCCCACCCTCCAGACCCCTGACCTGTTGGTTTTCTGTGTTTCAGCCCTCCCAAGAGCCGGACGACAGCAGCAGTGAGTCTGGTGACCTCCAGCTGGAGGGGCCCAGCTCCCTCGGGGTCCTGGACAAAAGCCTTGCTGAGTCTCAAGCAGAAGACAGGCCCCTGGTTTTCTTCGACCTCAAGATTGACAGTGAAAGTGGGTTCTCCAGTGGCCACCCCACCCCTTTCTAGCTTAGTCCCTGCGTCCCCAAGATAAGCACAGGCAGAGCCACCTGCAAGCCCAGGAGAGCCTAGGGCTCTGGCTGGTGGCTGCAGCCAGAGGGTGCGGCCGAGCACTGGCCTCCCAGCTGTCTGAACTTGGTTGTTTGAATGAGGATGTTTGCTTTGATCAGTGCCTGAGGTGTGGGACGAGAGCCTCCCTGAGTTCCTCCTGACCGGCGCTTCTCTTAGGGAGCACATTTCTAAGCCGAAACGCAATGTGAAACTCGCTGCTATGAGACCAACAATCCAAGCATGGTCTTAGGCTGGGACTGCACACTGCTGAGTACAGAGCCTGTTTGTTCCACAGGGAGGCCAACAGAGCCCAGGCCACAGAGAGATATGACCCCTTCTCCCTCAGCTCCACGGTGGTTGCCCTGGTCCTGCAGAAGGCAGGCCCTGCCCTGTGGCCTGGACGCAGCATGGGGCCAGCCCAGGCAGACAGAGCAGCAGGTGTTTACAGTGGACAGGGAAGCAATCTGCAGACCTTGCTGGGCGATTCGGGGCCGCGCTCTGAGTGGAGTGGACTGAGCAGGTGTGCTGTCTGACCCAGGGCGCTGATGGCTTAGTTAAGTGACTGATGGGGTTGGAGGCCAGGGGGCCTAGGCAGAAACAGTGAGGGAGCTCGAGTGTGGGTGGGTGGAGGCTGGCAGAAGACAGGAGGGACCTGGAGCGAAAGAGTTCGGCGAACTGGGGCAGGTGGCAGAGCAAAAGGGGAGCAAGGGGCGCTTGGAGGGCAGCCCCCTCCCTTCTGACCCTGTCCCCATCAGAGCCAGGGTCAGAGCCGCACCTGAGGCTAATGCTGGGTTCCTGCCAGCGGGCCCCAAGGTGGGGCCTCTGGGCAGTGGGTCGGGAACCCTAGATGACCCCCTGCACCTGGACAGTGTCCCCTGCCAGTGCC